CTCTACCTGAATCTTGGACCATTGAGGATTGCATATCATTGTTATGAAAAGATCTAGTTTACCTAACTGCTCCACAATAGTTATAGTATCTTGATACAATTGTTTCATATGCTGTAGACCACTAATAAAACTCGATAGAAGTATAATTCAGTAGCTAATATAAAGTTTCTTTTTTGGTAGTTCATCATTTACTGAGATCACATCTTGAAGCCTACTATATAGTTCAGCATGAATTTGTTTCTGATTATATCTCAAGTAGTTCAAATAGCTTTGCTCAATATATGCATATACATCAACAATATACTGTTGAAAAAGATGACCAGATCTATGTAGAGCAAATGACTCTGTTAGTTTATGTATTCGCAACTACAAATGATATGCATAATATTGCATTATTAATATATGATATCTAATTGCCTCAATATATGTATCTTTACTTTTGCTATCTGAATTATTATTATCATTTAGTTTTTCTTGTAAATTTCTCTTGCTAATATTTGGATGCTATCTAAATTCACCATGTGGAAATAGTAAAATGTAGTGCAATAGTTATAGCTATGATGTATTTCAGTAATGCACTAGAGGCTACCACCTTGCTTGTATAGTATAATATCTCTATTTTCTGGTTTAATTGCTTGACTATCTCCTACCATAAGAAAGCAACTTCTGATACAGTAGGTATTGAATATTGTAGTTTATATCAAGCTTTAATAATAACAATTTTTAAATCTTATACAGGATTTTCTTGCAAAGTATAAGCTACTCTTCAAAAGATATATACATACAGATTAACTTCATGCAGCATTGTTTGAAGATTTTCAAGTGTTGTTAGATCAAGGTCTGGTATTAATCATTGTCTATACTGTAGTTAAATATTTGTATCATATATACAATTCTAACAGAATAATGGTGAATCTTAATTCTCAGGTATAAGAGAGCAAATACAATGATATATTTTATTCTGAATATGAAAGCTATATATGCCTTGAGTTCTAACAATACACTTATCAATTTTTGTATCTATAGAAGTGAATGCAAGTACAGAGTTGTACACACAGATTTTTTTTCAAAAATTATATGCTTCAGAACTTTCTTCAGTAAGAAATATACACAATAATTTAAGTAGTGAAGCAATAGCAGGCAATTGCACTGTGCCTTTTGCACAACAGGTACTAAAAATTAGTTTACATTTTGTTCCAGAAACTTTTTGTCTACTCAATGTAATGCTTTGCATTCTAGGCATTCTACATTCATACTTCCAATATTATGTGGAAATACAGCCTTTGTATCATAGCTTTCAATATATGATATATTGAATACACAGGTTTTAGTTGTTTTTGCTTTTTTTCTGCAAAAATCAAGTAAACCTCAGTAATATATATTTCATCTGTATGTGAGATATGTTTTATATATCTTTCTCATTCTAGATAGTTTTTTCTTTTATGAAAACTTTTTGAACCTTCAGGTATTTTATTAGCATGTGCTATTCTTTTTGCATATTGCTCTCTTTCTAGCTAATTTTTTTATTCATAAAAGCTTTCTTCTCTTTTTACTCTACTAAGAACAAATATTTTATCTGTATATTCAATTTTTCTTATATTTTGAGTTTCAGGTATAGATTGAGAATTTCCACTCATTTTACAATTGCAAAAAAATAAATTTTTAAAAGATAATACTTTTTTTTGATATTAAAAAATTTATGTTACAGAATTTATTCTAATAACTAAAAAAAGGTTTACAAATATGTTGCTTATTTTTATACTGATTAATATATCATTGCTTTGGTATAACTTTTATTATAATTTTTGTATTTCATATCATATATATTATATATAATTTATGCACATTTTTAAATTTATTAGATTATTA